CATTTCTTACTTAATGGAAACACGGCAATTGTGAAACTGTGTTTTTCGACATTAACAGAATATCGACAAAGTTGACATTTGCGATGGAAACACAGCTAATGTTCTGTTTTAAACCCCCTATTTGTGATTTATTGACTGCATAAACGCAAAAACTTTGCAAAATTAAAATTATCCTCTAAGAACTTAGTCAAAACCAGGATGTTGTGAGTGCAAGTCATTTCTACTTCACAATTATACACCCCTTTGTGTTGGTTAATCACATCATCACCCAATAAACTAGTTGGGRGTTTATGGTTCTGATGTGATAAGACAGAAAGGTTCACGAGCTATGCATATTTTCTCTTGGTACTGTAGTATGCAGTAGGGTCCTACAAGTAAGCAAAGAGAAACAGGTCAAGAGAAGCATTGACCTGAAAGACTTTTKTGTCGTGTTGTAGATATCGTATGGAGATCGACTCCATCATGGCCCGTTGGAAACGACTGGGTTCCACGTTAACGGACAACGCTCAGAGAATCCAGGAGCTCATGGCCAAACTGATGCAGTTCGAGGTGAGARATTTGAACAGTCTGGTAGAAGKATGTAACRAAAATGACTGACATTAATTCTGATGTTTTTGTTAGAATGATGTAAAGACTTTAAAGAAATGGATGGCCGACGTGGACGTCTTCCTGAACGAGGAGTGGCCGGCTCTTGGAGACTCTGAAGCACTGGAGAAACAGTTAGAGCAGTGCACGGTAAGACAACAAATAAAAACAAGATTCCAGGCACAAGGAAAACACCCAGAGAAGTGATGAAACAACCTTTAGAGGTGATYAATGTTGGTTAAAAATCTTTCTAGGAAAGATATTCTTAGCAGAAAAAGTTGTTAGAGTTAGGAAAATGTATTTGTGTGTTGCGCTGATGAAAATTGGCCAAGTCTTTTTACCAAACAACTCATTCTGCCATTGACCCATTTGGTGTCATTTATTGGACTGGATGATTGATGTCTGAAAAAATTAGACATATTGACAATTTCACAAGTTATTCATTTAACAAACAGGAAGTTAGTAGCATGTGGAAGAACCATACACAGCCACAATGGCCTGGGTCCGGATGCTAACACTAAACAAGTAAACATTTGCAGGATCTAACGAAGAGCTAATTGCTAAAGARGACTGTCATTCAGTCGGCGTCTCCTTCCAGCAGAAGACTGGTGGGACTGACACAAACCTGTTGATGTTGGCTTGTTAGCTAGCTGTTAGCTGACTTAAAATTGGCAAAGCTTAATTTAAAACATGTTAATTGGTTCACTAATGGAACTAAATTTGTTTAAAAGCTAATTTTATTCCACTATTAGCTTTTAGCTGATTAGCAGAACCATGTCCACCACTGCCAAGAAACATTGTTACAACTAAGAACTAATCAACCAAACGCAGTTTTCCAGCCTTTTTGTGCRATGTTTACATTTGAAAAGTGAACTCAGTTGCTTCAGAATTCTGCTTGTGTACACCTGTCCTACTCTCTGATTGGTCAGGCACTGGTTAATGACATCCACACCATCCAGCCCAGCGTCAATGGTATCAACGAAGTAGGCCTGTACCTCAAGAAGGAGGCGGAGCCACCGTTTGCCATCTACATTCAAAAAGAACTGGACGAACTTAACGCCCAGTGGGAGATAATCTGCAAACAGGTATGTCACCTTTAGCCACACAAATCAGCCTTGATGCACTAAAAGTTTGAGCATCTTTACTGATAACTATTTTGGACTTTTTATTCATTTAATTCASAAAATCGTCACAAAGTGAGCTGGAGCTTCATGTATCATGTATCACAAGARGACCTGTTTAATAGGATGTGCTTCAGAGATGCTCCTAAATAATATGGCATAAAAACCTAAAAGCGCCATGTGCAAAGAGGAATGAGTGTGTGTGAAGCTGTGTGTAGATGCCACGTACTGCTAGAATTACACACTATTGTAAACTAATGAAGTGCGCGGGGATGCAGATCTACCTGCGGTGCTCTTTTAAGGCCAAAGAATTTCCAACTTTACACGTATTGATCAACGTAATTGCTGTGAAACAAGAGGCACTCAGGAGTAGGGCTGCAACGACTAATCGATTAATCAACGACTAATCGATTAATCAACGACTAAT